CGGCTGCCGGAGGATGGACAGAGGTCGGAGAGCTCGAATCGAAGGGTCGTTGCGAGGTCATGTGCCGCACCGCCAGTTGTGCGGCGTAGTAGGTGCCCAGGACGTTGATTTCGAATGTCCGCTTGACACTTGCCGGAGACCGATCCAGGAACGGCTGGTCAGGGCAGATACCCGCCGCGGTGATACTGTTTGTTCAGTCAGGGTGAATTTTTTGCCTCTCTTTGTGGCTGTGATAGAAGAACAGCAATCAGGTGTAACTCCGGCCTTCAATATTGGGTGCTTACATTCCATCTATGCGGTGATAGTCTTGGACGATGGCGTCGAAGGTGCTCTTCAGACGTTCGTAGTCGGTGACATCCGATCTGGGAGAGCGAAGAAACTTGGATATCAGTCTCGTTTTGTCTATGCCCCTTGGGCTATTTTCTGACGTGTGGCCCAGGTAAGACGAGGTGGCGGGAAGACTGACTGATAATATGTGACTCTGGCAGCTCTCTGCTTGAGAATCTCAAAATGTTCATGCGGCGCTGGCGATGCATCAACCAACGCGACTAGACCGCCAGCCTCGGCCACCGCAAATGCCAGTGTCAAACCAATGCCTCTGGCACCGCCGGTGATGACTACCACGCGATCCTTGAGACTGAAGAGGCTGGTCACGTCGCAGTGCAGGTAGGCATCTGTTGCAGTTTTGCCTTGGACGGCGATGCCGGGAGCCGCCATCATGTCTCGGATAGTAGAGAAAGAAATGTGAAGACTTTTGGACTGGGACAATCAGGGAACCAGTGCCTCTCACACTTCGAGAGAAGCTCAGCAGAGGCGGCGTGGTTTATCCAGTCCGAGAGTCATGGCACCAAATCCGTGAGGTCTTAGGCTACGCCCACTGGCCGTGTGCATCACCCGCCTCGTCCGGTTATTCGCTGCTCCCACACAAGATTGCTTTCTCTTTGGTGGCTCTCCAACCCAAGGCCAACACCAGAGTTCGTTCCATTCTGGTCCGGAAGTGTGAGCAACCAGCAGGCTGCACTTCATCCGTGGTTTGACAAGTCTTGCGCACGCTCGCCCTGGGATGGTAGCCGGCGGTCGTTTGTTCCCAGATGACGCTACAATGGTAACCGATCAACCTTACAAGTCTTTCTTGAAACGTTTTTAGTCCAGCGTTGGAGTGCAAGAGCCCCGGCTACATACTTCTACTTTACAATGTCCTCTAAACTCGAAGCTGGGATGTTTCTATAGCCGATATGCAGGGGGATAAACAGGGGGTCAAACTGTAGGTTCCATCCAAGCCAACGGCCTTTAACCCGCACTGCCCGCAAGTCCTGCCGGCTGATGCAAGTGCCTTCGTGCTCCGCAGGCACTTATGCGAGTTCTCCGCACTTGCAACTGTTATCGTCTATTATCAAACTGTGCAGCCAAGCGGGGATCTGAATGATCCCCAGGAGCTCAGTTGCGCAGTCGGATATCACGGCAGCTCCCAACTTGCACATCTTTGCCGTGTCATCTTTCTTTCTCCGTCGCCAGCTACTTGGTGCCTCATTCGCTTTAGAAACTCGTCTTCTCTCGAGTTTCGATCTCAGTTGATCGAGGTTTGCCGTGTGACTCGGCGTTCACCGCCTGTTCCGAAACCTGCTCTCGTTGTTGCTCTGGAAGGCGATCGGACTTCAAAAAGATGTAGTCAATTTCTTCTAGTCCCAGGCCCTTGGTTTCAGGGAACCAAAAGTAGATCATGGGCACGAAGGCGAAGTTCTTGTTCTCGTTGTCAGCCGTTGGACCCGAGGACACTTGAAAAAAGGGACGAGACTTACGAATGCCATGAAGACCAGATAAGTCTTCCAAGTGATGTTGTGGACCAGAGTTGGCGTGATTTGGACAATCACAAAAACCTTGACCAGATTAGTATGTTTCTTTTGGGAAGGAGGAGGAAAGCACGAATTCGCTCATGGGGATCAACACACCCAGATCCAGTTGTTGAAGACAGCTAATGCGGTTCCTTGAGCGCGAAGGCGCAGTGGGAGGATCTCGGTACTGTAACACCAAGGTATAGCGTTCAAGCTGGCCCCGAATGAGAGCATGTACTGTTCAAGCAGCGGTTAGTCTAACAAGGATGGACAGCCTGAGCCCATAACTCACGGTGATGAAAAACGCAATCGAAACGTTGGCCGTTGCCTTCCCTTTGTCCGTTCCACTGTAGGAGAGCAGGATGGCCACCACCATCATAGAAAGACCCATTCCGATGGCGCCAAACATCATAGGCTTCTTTCGCCCGAGACGATCAGCTCCGAGAGCTGGAACCAATGATCCCACCGCAAATGCTAGATTCAGACAGCCACCCACAACAATGGCAGTATTACGATTGAGTCCGACATTGACTTCGAGCACAGTCGCTGAATAGAAGACAATGACGTTGATCCCCGCCCACTGTGTGTCTGGTTAGCATTGTCACGGTCAACAACATGACTGTCTCGGAAGACCGACCTGGTTCATGAACAAGACCAAACAGGCGAGAAACACGCGCCATCCAGTCTGGACAGGATCTCGCTTGAAGATGCGAACCCATTTAAAAGGCTCTGCCTCCTCCAACTCAATGGCTTGAAGAATGTCTCGCTTCTCGGTCTCAACCACAGGATCCTCGGGTACTGTATTCCAGACTTTGCACAGGACAGCCACACCTTCTTCGGTCCGACCTTGTTGGATCAGCCATCTGGGCGTTTCTGGCAGGCCCACCACCAAAAGAGCAACACTGGCCGCCATGGGGATCTGAAGAGCAATCGGCAGTCGCCACGCGATCGGTCCACTGGTGAAACTCATTCCATAGTCGAAGAAATAGGCCATCGACACTCCGACGGCAGTAAAGAGCACTTCGGAAGTGACGAGTCGGCCTCGATGTTCTCTTTTGCACAGCTCTGACTGATACATTGGGACTGTGGACGTGTCGATACCAACTCCAAGCCCGGTGATGATTCGCCCGACCATCATTTGGGGCACCGAATAGGCCGAATCCTGAATGACTGCTCCAAGAGCTATGCAAAACATGGCTGCCCAAATCGCATGACGACGACCGAATCGAGCACCGATGAAGAAGTTGATGGCACACCCGAGAAAGCAACCGACATTGTAGATAGAAACGATGATGCCTAGGAATCCGGGCCCAGGATGATGGAAAATGTCAAGGAAATCTGGGTTTGTGATCAAGCCGCCAAAGACACCCTGATCCCAACCAAAACTGCACGGACCTGGTCAGCTGTTTTTGCTTTTGACGACAATGGGGGATAGGCACTAGCCCTGGCCTCAAAACGTACAGTACAAATGCCGACAGACATGTATAGGTAATGGCAAGCTGGATTGGCCGACCTGGCTTGAACCAATCTCTCGTCATGCTGTGCTTTGGAAAAAAAGATTTTGTCGAAATCGCACCTGGCCGTAGTCAAAGTAAGAACACGACTTCTCTCTCTCTCTAGAATCGTAAACCTGGAGTACCGAGTACACCGACCGAAACGCGGGGTTTGGCCCAGAGTATTTGTACCTGCCCCATTGCTCAAGCTGACAGTGTTTTTGTGGGTAGATCAACATTGGAGTTACATGTGGATCATCTCTTGAGTCTGGTAAGGCTCTGCGAAGTTGCTGCACCAATTCAACTTTCCGGGAGGGGGGAGAAAGAAGGCTATACGGCTTCGGCACATGAGGCTTTCATGTTTCGGTTAACCGGGCATTAATCAATGAGCAACGATCACAGCATTCACCAGTGATGCAAACCTTGAAAGTAGAGACCCGATTTCTCTTCTTCATCGTCCATGAATCAGGCTTTTTGTGAGTCGACAAGCAGAATCGCTGAATAGCGACGGGCAAGTCTTGAAAACGGTGTATTGTCTTCACCTAAAACTCCAGGCTCTTATCCTGGCAGGGCCGGTGCGGTGGACAAAAGAATTTCGTCGGTGAATGGCTCAAGCAAACCCACCCGCCCCGGTACTGCAAGGTAAAAAGGCCCTTTGTCGTCAGCAATACTCGGGTACGTTAATAACAATGCCTCCGGTAGGTACTTGATGCTGGTATTAATGTTCAGTGCAACGAGGCTGGGTAACCGACGACAACCCAGGGGGAAAGACAGTTCGGCTACTCACGTTAACACGACCTTCGGTATTAGCTAGTGAGGGCCAAGCATACTCGGTACTCCGTGATTCGGGCAAAGCGGGAATCTTCCGCGCGGACCTGAACCCTCTTCCACTGGATGCAACACTAGTATTGCTACCCGTATACTCAGCTATCTATGCAACTGTCCATGTTCGTCAATCACAAAAGCGCCCGGTCGCGCAATCAATGGAAGGAATATCGTTTGTGCTCCCGACCTATTACTGTCTCCTGTTCGCCAAATTATAGGGGGGATGATTCTTCACTGAAGCTTGCACAACTGCTGAGGAAGATTTGATTCTCACGGGCACTGGTGCTTCGCCAGGGATTCAAAGCGGGCCTTTGGACCAAATGAAACCGGCAAAAAGACAGTGACGCCAGGATCTATCCCAATCTCGAACCATTTTCGTGATCTGGTGCTTCCTCTTCTAGTTTGCACGAGCTGAATTCGAGATCGGCGCTCCTGGATGCTCGTACTTTTTGTAGGTGTGGCAGCCGGGCAAATGTGGCTCTCCTCGCAGAATAGGAATTTTGCCAACGAAAAGGCCCCAGATAAGTTGTTCAAGGTACAAGGCGCAGTAGAATACCGCAAAGGCGAAGAGACCCCTTGGGATCAATGGTTTCATTCTCTATGAAGAATTCTTTCCCGGCGGAATGCACCAGCTACGAATGTCAATATGACTCTTTTGACGTACCGCATCCTCGAAGTCGAAGCTCGTGGATCAGAGGCTCGGGTCCCAACTTCCTCTGCATGAATGATCCAATCTGTGCACAGGCTTCAACTGTATGGTGCCAGTCGAAGAGCGTAGCTTTGTTGAACAACGGGTCGATCACAATCTGGAACCACTGTCCTACTTTGTTGGGGACGTCGAAAAGGCGAATTACAAAGTACTCAAAACTGTGAAGCCTCGTGGGAATTCTATAATGTTGCCACGACGAATGTCTTCCGCAAGCTCTGCCCAATCAAATTCATCGTCCATTGGCCGGACGTGGAGAAGGACTTTGAAGAGAATATCATCAACCGTGTTGGAGACGTCAAGGTGGGTTTTGGGGCTCCATGGGGTCTCGAGCAGTAGCGGTACCAAAGGGTCAAAATGTTCAGCAAAAGCCTCTAACTGTTTGGTCAGAGCGTTCTCATCTCCTTCGGGGAAAATCGTCTCCCATTCAGGCTGATCCTCCTCCTTTTCTTCTTCTTCTTTTGGCTTATCAGAGGTGGACGTGCCAGGGACTTTCGGATCAAACGGACGGACCGCTGATCGATCGAGTTTGAGCTCAGGGTCGTCATTCACAGGTGGTCTTTCGGTGCTGTCTGCTGTGCCTCGGTTCTCCTCAAGCTGATCAGGGAGATCTGTCACGCTCGTCCTGGACGGGGTCAAACACCCACTCGCGTATATCTGTAGAACAGTCGTGTTCACAGCATTTACTTATATATATATGACCCACACTTCGAAAGGAGTACCTTTCCCCAGTCAATAAGGCACAGGAGGTGGTGATGAGGAAGGAAAGGCGAGGAGCATGTGATCTGATAGCAGTATGAGGAAAGAGGAATTTGTTCATATGGAGGTCGCCTTGATCAGTATCTCATAACGAAAGGGTGTCCTCCTGTTTGAGGACCATTACAGGAGCGGCCTCTGGCGAGAGGTTCAACGAAAGCTACCCACCGAGTAGTCACTCAAGAGCGACGAGGCGGCCGCCAGGCTAAATATAGCTGGTTTCCTTGATAGGGATAGGGACGACATTATACCTAAGAATAGAATACCCTCGAGTTAATATGGACGTATACTACAAGTACAGTAAGTCGGTTCGCAATATTGATTATCCGAAGCTACGGCTGTCCACAACCAGCATGGGAATTGCCACTTTAGGACACTACCCACTTTTATTACTTTCTGGGGGTGACTTTGACGTCACAAAATGGCAGCCTTGGTGGCCTTCATCCTTCACGAGTTGAAGATCCTCCTCTGTCTTCATTCATCAACGAACTGATCGATAATGCCAATATAAAAACCACTTGATATCACTACAATACTGAAAGTCGAAAATGGAGGGCCTGCCTAAATTCAAGGAGCGCGAGAAGGCGCTGGAAGACGAGTATATTCGCCGGAAGGAGTAGGTTTCGCCACCACCCACTCACTTTATCACGCAGAAGCTCTTTCGAGATGGTTATGACTCGAGATATACCTGTCCATAGCCCCTCATACGTGCAGCATGCTGACAAATATCGTGAAGAGCCGAGAAATTCAAACCACCCGCGCCGACTCAGCCGGGAAGTACCCAACCCTCGAATCCAGGGCAGCATGTGAGTTGCGAAACCGCTTAAGAGATCGTTGAGGTATCTTGTTCGATGTCTGACCGAGTGCAAGGTCCAACCCAAGAAATGAGCAGCTGGGAAGATAATTCTGGAACTATGGGTGGTTGAAGGCGGTCTACACCTCGTTGGTTGGGGAGGAGATGTATGTACGAGACAGTCCGGGCGTCCGACAAGAACTTGGTCCGCAGCAGTCCCTGACACCTGCTTGCGATAGACTGTGGGTATTTCCATTCCATCCATATACTTATAGTCGGGGTAGTCACCATGAGGTGATACTGATAATGTCAATTGCATCACGCAGCTAACCACACATGCAGAGTTATCGTTCAGACGGCCCAGACTCCAACAGTCAAAAGGTTTGAAGCAAGAGATGGTGTCGTGCATGCTATTATACCTGAGTAAGGATAGGGATCAAGGAGGCGGTCGGGCCAGGTTACACTCCACACAAACACTTTTTTTTCAAGAACATCCCCTCGCCTTCGATATATCAAGTCTGTTCCATTTGACCCGGGCCAAGGCCCCTAACGACCAAGGCCGTTGAACCATGTATTTTCCCGAAGATTGCGCCAGCCTCGGCCGCAGATCCGTTTTCCCTCTGTGCTAAATCTGTCCAGATTGCAGAGCAAGTCGCGACAAAAGACGTTCGATTGGCTTAGAATAATTTTACGAGCACTCCTGAACCAACATGACCCACTACGGCATTAGGTTGCCCAAGTACGATTTAAACATCGGAGTAGGGCGCGTGGCCCAGCCGAAATTACCCTAGCAGATGTGCCATCATCCCTGCAGAAATGTCAAACCCTCTGAAAACGACACTCTCGTACGAGGGTAAACGGCATTGCTCCCGTGCACTTGGATACCGAGCAGACCTGGACGTCTCTTGATTGACCTGCACGCGATCAGTGTTGGGGGGCCTCTACCCTTGGCCGCGAGTCGACGTTTACCGCATTCTGTCTTTTTTGATTCTTCCGATGAGATCTGAAACATACTTGGGCTGGACATTCCAGACTACTCTGTCTCACTCCGCCCCTCCCCGGAGCCAGTGTGATGGATAGTGGGGGGTTTGCTATCAGGCGACTCTCCAAGACCAGGGCAGAGGGTTACATGTTCGTCTATCATCAACCAAGGCGATTGTATGGATACCCTTGAAACGACCCCATAAGGTGCTCTGCCATCACGTTTAGACAAATATGCCGGTGGGTGTGGCTTGCTGCCTCTTTTCTTCAAAGTACACTATGCATTCAGGTTGGTACAATGCTTCAACAGTTGGGCAGGTTACGAGTCTTTGGTACAGACCGACCTCGTATTCTGGCGGCGGCCCTCGCCATCATCTTCCTCTTTGTTCTCCTCCCAACCAGATACTCGAACCAGGTCCAGATAGGGCATCTCTTCACGCCTCCCGTCGTGACGCCTAGGCAGGCTGCGGCAAATAAGACACTCGGAGTGAGGACCCTGGGCGCATGCTGTCTAGATTCCTCCTGGCTAATGGTCGGCTACAGTTCGAAAAGTTGTTGGCGCTCTCATCGAAACCCAGCTGGCGCACGCGCGGGCTGCAAGCGGCAGCCAACCTCACGGGTCTCGAATTCACCATTCCAACACAACCACACAATCCCGAAGAGCTCGTCCATGCGTTTGAGGAGATCGGGGTCGCCTCGGGGGCCACTACACCCAAGCATGGCTCGGCCACAGCCTGGGTCGCCCACCTCGACTTGCTGAAGTACATCATCGCGGCGGGGTTCGAGACTGCTTTTATTGTCGAGGACGACGTCGACTGGGACGTCCGGATCAAGTGGCAGGTGCAGCTGGTTTCGGACAACATCCGCAACTACACGCAGGTGTCGGAGAACGACACGGCGCCGTACGGCAGGGACTGGGACGTACTCTGGCTGGGTCACTGCGGCTCGGCGATCGACGACTGGGTGGCCCCGGGCCTGACGTACGCCGACAAAACGCGGATTGCGACCAAGCGGTACGTGAGCTGGTCGACCAAGTTCCTCAAGGAGAACGTGCCCGAGGGCCACCGACACATCCACATCTCGACCATGACGGTCTGCTCGTTCGGATACGGGGTGACCAAGCAGTCAGCGCAGAAGATCCTGTCGCTGCTCGCGCAGGGGGCCGACGAGGCCTTTGACGTGGCGCTGTCGCACCGCTGCCGGTCCAACGAGCTACGGTGCCTGGTGGTGAACCCGCAGCTGATGCACCACTACGAGCCGCCCAAGGACCGCGGGTACGTGTCGCCCGTGGACGTGGGCGACGGGGACGGCGAAGCCGGCAACGAGACCGACTACGAGTCGGTCAAAGGCACCACGCTGAACATTGTCAAGAGCGCGCGATGTCGGGCCCTGTTTCATGACACGTGTATGTGAGACAGGCGATCCGTCTACCGCAACATCGGAAATGATGAGGTGTTATTTTTGGTGCTGTAGATATGTCGATACATGATTGTTGTACCTTGGTATTCCACCTTTGACGAACAATGCCCCTCTCTTTCTTCTTTTTTTTTTTTTTTTTTTCTTTCTCTCCCTCTCCCACCTATCAAACACAGGTCGCGTCGTGCTCATTTTACCAGGTTTGACTTCTCGAGATGATAGGTAGCCACCACACGGAAACTAAAATTACTGCAAGGCGAAACTAACGAAGGCACAAGTAGTTTGTCAATGTCGCTTACACAATACCGAGTGTTCCCTCCTCTCTCCCTCTCCCTCTCCCTCAAACTCGGTGATGCGAGGAGACAAGCACCTACCTACATACATACTAGCTAGGCACCAAGGTACCCAGTCTGTACATATGTATGCTAGCGGCCGACTCGTCAAGATATAAATAGAACACGTTTAATACCTACCTAGTTACCTTTGGGTCACTTAGTGTGCTAGGCACACTAAAGTAGTGCTCCCCTACGAATACCGAGATATGTACCTCGTGACTTGATTCCCTCATCAGTTTTTTTCCCCTCCCTCGAGATTGTTCTTGGTATGGTTCTATGTTTCAGATTTCATGTTTCTTGGGGTTAGGAGGTACTTACCGAGTACTTCGGGCTAACAAAGAGAGGAGGGGGGGGGGGGGGGGGGAGGAGTCCACTGACTAATAATTAATACCTCGCACTTGTACTGGTACTTGTCCTTGTGCAGTTTGGGACCTGACATGGACCTGCCTCGGTGCGACTGAAAAGGCAGATACCTTGGCACGCCTGGTAGGAGTGGTAGTATTTCGTGCCTGCCTCGCACCATCGCTACTACTTGTACCGAGTACTTAGGTACTGAGTACTTGTCCTCCGTACAGTACCGAACAGGTATATTCTCCACTCGATTTCCTTGGATATTTTTCCGTTCTTGGTAGTGGGGGCACGAGACGAGCCGCCGAGGTACTACGTACGAGATACTACAAAGTATTCCTCGTACAAGGGCCGCGTAGGCATGGTGGCAAGGTAGGAAAGCTAGGGTACTTGGGCGCATACTCTCTCGGTCAGATGTTCTAGAGTGAATCATGACGATGGCGGAGATGATTTGTTATCACCAGGATGATCTCGAGGCAGAAGACAAAAGGAAAAGGGGGCCAAGAGAGAGGATGCTAGTACAACAGTACCGAGTACAACCCTACTTACATACACAGTATGTATGGACCATGTTCTGTAGACCTTTGTCGGGGCTGAGACGACTACTTGGTAAACGTGGTGGTTGAGGTATTACGCGATAACATTAGTATAGGTACGTACAGAGTATATATTACAAAGGCACCGCTTCTTCCGCCTTTTGCTTCCAAACGCCCACAAGCCTCTGGCAGAGAGACGAAGACTTGCCTCCTCGTAGCATCCTCCCTGGAACTGTACCTGACATGTACTGTGCACCAATCACCCCCAAACCCCTTTTTACTCCTTCTCCCCACAAGCTGACAGCGAGGACTCCCCAAACCCCTGGAACAGTGCTATCTCGGCCCCTCGGATTTCTTCCTCAAAAACACCCTCTTGATCCCCCCAATATCCCCCAGGCTCATACGGTTGCTCTTGGATCGTGCACCAAGGCTCATCCGCCGTGAATTCTTGACATCACTTCCAACAGAACTCGTGCTTGGACTGGTGGAAACGGTCACAGGGCTCGAGTTCGCATTGGTGCTCGGGCTGGAACTGAAATAGGACAACCGACGACCCCGGCTGGGAGGCGTCGACAGGAACGTCGTGGTTGTGGTGGTCGTTGTCGTCGTCGTGCCATTAGACCCTTGTACCATGGTGGCACTGCCACCACCACCGCTCACTGCCCGGGCTTTGCCCACCATCCCTTGAACCCATGCATCATTACTCGCGGCGGGGGTCGTCCCGTACGTAGCTGCGCGTCGCACGTTCATTTTAGGGCCAGCAGCGCCAAGAGGAGTATAGTTAGTAGTCGTACTAGGAGGAGTCACCATTGTTGTTGTCGTGACACCGCCTGGGCCGACGATGGTCGAATACCGTGGCTGCGATACGGTTGTAGAACTTTGACTAGGCTGTTGAGACTGATCATTCAACAGGGTCGTGTCAGGGTCGACAAAGCCTACCTCGGCACCATTCTCGTGATCAGTGGCCGTGGGAAACGCCGGAGAGCTGACGGTAAACGAGGATGGGATCGGTGGTACCGGAGGTGGTGTCCATGTCCCCTCAACCCTGCTCTTACGACGTTCAGGTGAACGATGTCGTTGAGCAGATGGTCGTGTCTTGGGGTTAACGAGCTCGACCGATGGGGCGCCCTCGAAGGTTGTCTGGGCCATGACGGGTGATCTCGATTTTCGCCGTCCTTGGGGAGCCGGCGTACCACCACCCGAACCCACGGAGTCTCTGGCTCCGTTTCCAGGAAAGCTGGCAACCTCAAGTCGGCCATCGATAGTCGCTCGGCTCCCATGGTGAAGGCTATACTCTCGCAAGTACTCTCCAAGATCGGCCCATCCCCCACCGACCCGAACCATGACACGGTCCCCGTCTCCCACGGTCCGAACAAAGAGCTTGACTGGAGGGGCTTCGCGACCCTGTCCGGACCGTGTCAAATGGTACAATTTGATGTCGGGGTCAGCAAGGCTGCCTCTGCGGCTCGACGTGTCGGCTTTGGCTGGTGACAATGTCAACGAAGCAGTGGGTGTTGAAGCACGGGTCGACGAGGTGGATGACGATGGAGCATCTGCATCTTTGGCCAACCGGATTCTAGTAGGGAGGCTTGTGAGTATGTCTTGGATTCTGTCGTCGAGCGATTCTCTCGTCTTTGGCCGTCTGGGAGATTGTCCCACCTCGGCCATCAGCGTGGCGGAACGCGCTCCCCCCAAACCTTCTTCTTGGCCCCTGCTTGCTACTGGTGTGATGGGAGTACCGTCGGCTGTACTGATGCGCTTGCTCGATCTCCTTGGCAAAACGGGCAGAAGTGGTTCGGGCGTCGAGTGTGGATCTAAAGACCTGACCTCGAGGGTTGCTTGCACGGGAGTCGAAGCCTCGCTCGCCGGTGATGGGTGTTCGTGTACTTCCACTGTAGTTGTAGGCGTTTTCGCCATAGACTCGGCACCACCTGTCAATTGTGTCAGTGCTTTGGAGGGAGTGCTCTCTGCCGACTCTGCCATTTGCGTCAAAATGTCCCAACTGGCAGCCCGTCTCAGCACAACTTGTTTCAATTTGTCTTTCGGGAAGACCTCTATGGAGGCAGTCGACGCTCGCTGGAGCATGGGCGGCTTCAAAGCCAGCTGTTGCTGAGCTGCGTACGTCGACCCAAACCAAGCAATCTCATCCTGGCTTGTCGGAAGAGGATTCTCCACCACATGAATCTTGGGACTTGGAAGGACGCTGGTTGTCCTGGCGTCCATGATCTCTGCGTTTGATATATCCGACAACGTCGAGTACATGGACTCAGCAACCGAGACTTTGGAAACATCTCGCTTGTGGCCCTTTTGGTCGGAAAGGTCAAGCTTCAGCGAAGGTCTGTGCTTGGTCTTGACGGCCTCCTTGTCTGGTGGAAAAATATCTGGGACTGTGTCTTCAGGTAGGTTGTGAGTCATGGTAGGAGGTTGGGCGACCTCTAACAGCTCGTCTGGTTCTGGCAATGGACTTCCTTGGTGTGAGGATTCCGGAGGTGCTGGGCTTCCAGCAATATTTTTCGTCTCCGTGTCTCTGCTAGATTTTGAGGCGAGCTTGTTTCTGAGCACAACGTGGTCTGCTTCGACCGCCCAGGTGGCATAGTCGAGCTCGATCTTCTCGAGGGTATCGATCCAGGCCTGTGGCAGAGAATCCTCACGCCCTTCAAGCATATCCAGAAATCGATCGATTCGACGCCCCATGTCCGACACCTGTCCACCCAACGTCATTTTCCTCTCGTCCAAAGACGAGTCAGTCAGCGCTTGGGCGGAAGCTGGTGTTCTGATCTCTTTAAATGCTTGCTTGATCTCGGATTGGGTGGAGTGCATAACATCGAGGAATCTCGGGAGGTCTCTCAATACTCTTAACCGCACATCCCAGGTGTCAAGCAGCATATTCACCTTGGCAAGGTCTGGGAGTGCTTGGATCACCGTCGCAGTGATCAGGGCAGTGAAATCGCGCATTCTTCCGTAGCTGGAGCGTGGACCCACGGGTCGAGACGACGTTGTCGGACTCGATGCTGGCAGATGAGCTTCAAGCACATGGTCCTTGATCTCGTCAATGCCCAAACTGTCCAGGTCGTCCCTAATCTCCTCGATTCTCCCCTCGTAGTCCTCCGCCACAGACGCAGGCAAACAGCCACGGTAATCTTCAGCCTTGCCGCTTGAATTTGACGGAGGCACAAATCCCAGACCGAATCCCCTCTCTTTCTTGCCTGGCCACGTCCATTGTGACAATTCATTCTTCCATTCCCGCAATTTCTGAGCGGCGAAAGCGGCTCTTATCCCGATTTCTCGCTCGGCGGGGGTTGCATCCGCAATGCTCGTTGTCAAAGCATCTTCTTGCGCAGCCCCGCCGGAAATGGTTTCTGTGGCCTGTAGTGCTCTCAGCGTCGAGTCCGGCGTCAAGTTTCCAAGGAGGGGGTCGAGCTCTCGAATGGCAAATTGAGCTCTGCGTCGAGGGGACCGAGAGGGAGAGCGAGATGGTGAGGGAGGGTCTAAGCGAGGGAACTGCGGCCCTGTGGGAGTTTTGGGTGCCATCTTCTCCATCAAAGTATGCCCTCAGTCTATCTTGCCAGGCAAGCACTCTTGCTTCTTTCTCAAAGAGTTCCAGCCTCCGTAGAAGCAAAATAGCAGCATGCTGAAGAGGCTGCTGCCCAGCGCTCACGAGTGGCGGTAGTGCGAGGACATTCGAGACAATGTTTGAGGATGATTGGTGGCACTGCGTTGGCGGTACTTCGTGCAAAAGGGTCAAAGGAGCGACAGAGCAGGGGTGCTTAAGAGGATG